CATATAATTTCAACTCTTACACACATAATAAGAGCAACCCAAAATTGATAACGTTCCAATGATGCAACAAAATTCTACGGTCATTAAAAGCAAGGAAAATTGGACTGGTGAAGTCAGAATTGGGGTTTACTTGCAAACTAGAAAGTGGTTTGGAAGATGGAGGGAGTTGTGGGGACAAAAGAGCTGGTGGTGGAAATTACAAAAGTGAATGTCCGTTATAGAGCAGAATGTTTGCATAACACTGTTCATCCTTATTACTTATGCTACTAATGGTAAAGATCAGTGATTCTATATTTCTACTTTCAACAATATCTGTTTTTTCATGCAGCCTTATGATGGAGGGAATCACAAGTAGAAAGTAGAAAGGTTAAACATAGTCTTACATGTAAAGTAAAAAAATCATAAATTACCTAACTATGTCATCCTGAGAGCTTATGTTTCTTACAACTGCTGTTACTAGGCTTTCCCTAAAGTTGAAGTGTGGAACTGCCTCAAGTAATGTACAGATACAACGCATTGCCACACGTTTATAAACAGCATGCTTTTCTAGTGCTATCAGCTTCTGCACATATGCCTGTTAATGCACATTGAAACAAACATCAAAATCACTCCGTACTTTATACGTCTAGCTGGTATATTTATGCAAATAAGATAACAAATCTTAATCAAACACAGAAATGATATTTTAAGTAAAACCAAAGGAGAAGCAACTTTAGTTAGGTTGACTATTTAGTGAACTTGTGTAAAACTTCAAACCTATTAAAACTAGTTTATGGAATGATAAATTTCAATTAAAAAAAATAATGGCATTCAACATTGAGCTAAATTTATTTTGCTATTCTCTGCACTGTTTCAAATCAGCCTAGTTTGATTCTCAATAATAAACATACATGTTACTGTAAATACTGTGGGTGGTTCAGAGCAAACAAACTGCAAAATTTACCCTATACATCACTGTAAAAGCTTTCAACATATAGGTCTTATTAAACCAAGAGCAGAATGGAAGGCACAATAGGAAACACTTGAAAGTTAAGAAAATAAGTTACATCTCTAAACCAGTATACTTTGTCAATTTTCAGTTTAAAATTTTGAGAATGAGAAGGAAACTGCAATCTACATTTCCAATTGAAGTTTGAACCCTTAGAACTAGAAAGAGGAAGAGTTGATTCTCCTAAAAGGAGGATCTACCAAATAAGAGGGAAAGAAGGACTTTGCACTCATGTATGTATTTAAAACTAGAACGAAGTACAATAACAATTACACCAAGCTATCAGAATGAGAAATGAAAATCCACACAATGTCCTTAATGCTGATAAGCAAAGTTCTAAATTCAACCTTATATGAAGACAAAAGGGTTGATTCATAAAACCGCATTTTCTTAATAGTTTTTGAAACTTTCATTTCCTGCTCCTTTTCTGTTGGAAGTCTAATGCGGTAGCTGCATAAAACAAAAATAAAAAGAGTAGAATAAGAAACCGATGTTATGAAGCAGAGAAGAGTCAAATAAAGAGAGGCAATTCCATTAACAATAAGCTTACCCAGGAATGATATCTTTGAAAACAGCCAACAAAGATTTGAGTCCAAGTGTGACTATGATATAATCTCCATCTTTAGAAATCTGCATCATCTCCTTGAGAGATTTGATATTTGCTTCTGGATCCATAAGCAAGGTTGTACCTAGTTCAGCAAGTTTATACTTCTTTCTCTCATTGTCTTCTTCAACTGTCAAATCCTTTCTCACCTCATCCTAACACCATGAAGATGGTATACATATAAATACATATATGCGTGTAGGTTATGTATATATACTTTATATATTTACAGAGTAACAAAGACATAAGGTATCAGAATAAAAGAAACAAAACTGTATTTTTAGTGCCATATGATTTCTTCCTTATTCAAGGTTACTACTATAGTACTATTATTTATTCCACTGTTACCCCACCAATTCAGTTATTGCATTTCCTCTTAACTCAAATATCAGTATTTGTTCGTTTATCAGTCTTGTAAAGATATCACCGAAGTTAGAAGCAATATAAATGTTACGTACCAGCACATCTGTTTGAGGGGTTTGATGCACTTCCTCCAGATTAACCCCTTCCTTTGCTTGTATTTTTGCCTCTTTTCTCATTTTTTTAAGCTTTGCACGCTTCTCTGTCTTGCTCAGTTTCACTGTATTTCCCCCTGTATCTCCATCACCAACAGCACCATCGCCATCATTTTTGCCTTCAGCTTTTTTTGGTTCCTTTGGCACTGCAAAAAGATGCATACTTTGACATACAATTGATAGTAAAAAATCAGATAATGTAACTGATGACTAGAAATGGCATGGTGCAGTTCATGTACATGTCCTGTAATAAAGTTTGCCATCTAAGGTCTTCACAGGAAGTGCATCCACTGGATCAACTTCAATTGTATCCTCCTCCTTTTCTTCCTGGCGTGATGATCTTTTTCTTGTTCTCTCTTCGTACAAAGCTTCCACAGCATCTTCTTTTACATCCGCAATGCGAGTAACATGCCTTTTCAAGCAGAACCAATGAGATTGGCAAAAATTAGGAGGTTAAATGGATTATCAAGCACAAGAAGTTAAAGAGCATAAATGGTAAAATCAAAGAAAACCCAAACAATTCATTTGTAAAGATAATCATGAAACATCCATATACTACCCGCAATTTTAACCAGTCACATTCATATCAAAACTCTAAAAAATGAACCTAAGAAACTAAGAACTGAGCCTGACAATATTTAGTTACCAACACAAAAAAATGTTGTACAGGTGTTGATTTCCCAATTTACAAAATGAACTCGAGACAGGACATTAAAGGTACAAGGAGGAGTTTGCATACTTGTCAATTGATTTAGTGTCCAGATTCTTCAACAAACTGGCATATTCTCGATTTTTGGTAACGAACTGGACGTCATCATCCGAAATTTCAACTTCTTCGTCTGGAACTTCAGGTGGAAGCTCTGGCGGGAGAACTATCTTCTGCTTATTCTTCCCCATTGCAGGTTATGGAGGAAGGAGTTGCAGGTGGAACTTCAAGCTGTAACATTTTCCATTTAGAATATGGATTAAATGGTGCAAGTTATGAGGGCCCTTAATGACTATTCAGAGGTGACATTAAGGTTTGTAATGTTTGAGTGGAAGGGTTTATATATACAAATGTTTTTCAGATAAAATAAAATAAAATACCGGCGATAATAGCGAGCTTAGGGGTTGCGACTGGTGTAGAGGATGCCGGCGGCAGTGGTTTGAGTAGCTGGCGGTTGGCGTCGCTGAAGGCTGCGGCTGTGCTTGACGGCGTCGCCGAAGCAGGTATAGGTGATCTCGGCGGTCGTTGGCGTTGCTACGTGTAGACTTCGGCGGCCGGCTTCGTTCGGCAGTGGCGAGGGCGGTCCGGCGGAGGTCTGTCTCAGTTGATGCCGTGCCGCATAAATGTTTGTGTATAAGGGTTTAGCCAACTTTTATTAATTGGACCCGGGTATGGGCATTTGGCTCGAACCCGACTACTTTAAAAATGGGCCTGCGGTTTATTTTTTAAGTATTGAAAATTATATTGTTTTTAACATTTTATTCAAATTATAATTTGAGTTTGAATTAAAATTTTATTATTTAGTATGGTCATATATTAAATTGCTATAATTATTGTGTAATTTATTTGTTTAATATGAGTTTATGCATTAGTAATATGCATTTTATGTCTAATAAGCATAACATATAGTTTTAATTGTGTGTTTTATATTTTATGTCTTAGAAATGCATATTTATGAATTATTTAAATTTCTTCGTATATTGAATATTAGTAAATTGTGTTTATGGTAGTATATAAAGTTTAGTACATCTACGGCAGTATCTGAAGATTCGCATATTAAGATCAGTAAAAGTTCATCGAGCTTTATAAGTTTTTTTTTCAAACTATGATCTTTAGTTTTTGATAAATCGTTTCCAAAAAAAAAAAAAAAAAATTGATAAATTTCTTAAAACAATTGTGCTATTACATGAGAATTCATGAGACTGATAATTTATTGGGAAGTAAACTAGAATACCCAATGTGCTACTAGTTTCCTTGAAATCTTACTATGACTAATGAGTTGGTTTTTAATGTGGCATTGTCCCAACCAACTTTCATGAAAGTATACTTGGAAATTGTCTATCATGTTGATTGCATAATTTGTTTTTCATATCATAAATCTATGTCGATGTCATAATACAATTTTAGTTAATCATGAAATAGCCATAAAATCCTTAATTCAATTAAGACGGTATATTGAACTTTTTCAAATCACATAATGCTTAAGCATAAATTGCAATATATTATACATGCAATTTCTTGACAATTAGTATTACATCATACATATATATCATGCTATGTAGTATTTCCAATTATATTATAAATTGCTCACAAAATTATACATCAATACCATAGCAACACTTATATATTTACTATTGTTTAATAGTACAACACTTATCTCACTTTAGGAGTGTATGAAGCGGTTCTTAATGCTCGAGCCGTAATTTCCCCTATTCTAGAAGGATTCCAACTAGTTACTGCTATCAGGGTTCCCTTCATTTTTATGTAAAAAATAATAATAATAAGACGTTATTATTGTTTACGTTTGAATGTTGCAAGTTGATTTAAATAATTAGTGCAATATATATTTTACAAAACATTAATTTTAGAAATGTAAAAATATCAAATTGTTAAATGTAATCAAAATTCACAAAAAAAAATCATTGAATCCACCATTGACTAAATATAGCAATCATGACATTTTTTTTTTATATATTTATAGTAGTAAGTTACTAACTACATTATCTTCTCAATATTGTATTACTAATATTATGTTTTAAAGTTTTAATTTGTAGTGATAATCACTAATGGAATTTTTTAAAATGTTTTTCCAAATGATAAGGTGTAACTAATTTTACACGTGCAGCATGAGCACACACATAAATCTCCCAAATTCCCGATATTAATAAAGCGTTTAGAGAAAAATGGTAATACAAAACAGCTTAGCGGTTTTAAACAAGCAGTATGGGGTGTGTGCGGCGATGGAAGCAAAGCTGAGAGTCCGCCATTTCCAGTATCCTCTAACGCCACCATTTTCGCACAAATCACACAGCTTGAATGTCTAGAAATCCCCGAAACTGCACTTCACAAAAATGCCAAGACCCGACAACGCAATCCGGCTCAAGAGTTATCTACCGTCTCAACATCAATCGCAAAATCTCGACACCCCAGCTTCGATTATCTTCTCCGGAGGCTTGTTTCTCGAGCCCGCGGCACCGCCTTCGATTTTAAACGCATTAACTGGAAAATCTCGCCGGAGGCCGGGGTTCCGCAGAGGAAGTGCTAGTGGGGAGTTGTTTTTATCTGTGAGCTTGTCGATAGGGGAGAAAAAAGGGGATGGGCTTAACGGGAATTCCGGGGATTGTTTGGTGCTTAACGGCAATAAGGTTGGTAGTGTAGGAGGCGGGGAAGGTGGCGCAACCTTGGGACGGCGGCGAGGGATTGGGTTTGGGAAACAGGGCGCTGTGAATACTAGTAAGCACTTATGGGCTGGCGCTGTTGCCGCTATGGTATCAAGGTTTGTGCCTTTCATTTGCACTCAGCTCTGTTATTCATTTTGTTCTTTTAGTTGTAATTTTTAGCCCATAACCATTGATGTTAAAGGTTGATTTCAACATATTGATTGCTATTCTTAGAAAACGGATTAACACATGGATTCCAGAAGTCTTTGCCTAGTAATCATGCTTGAGTTTGATATTGTCAGCTCCAATTTAGTTGGTTGCTCCTTTGTGTGTGTGTTAGGTCAAGTTCTAATTAAGGATGAAAATGGTGTTTAGGTTGGTATATCAACTTAAATTCTCTTCATGTTAGAGACAAGTTATTTGTCCAAAGGCCAGTTCTGAAAAATGTTAATGATGCATGAATTATTCGAATCCATGTTCCTAGTTAATCAGATTAAAATCTGATTGGACACTAAGTCTTTGTCTTAATAACTTATATTTCCATATTTCACATGATATCCTGTAATGGCTGGATCATAAATCTCTTAAAAATTTTGGCTTATATTGGATCTCTCTCACAAAATCATCTAATTTTCCCCAGTATTTAGTTGTCAATGGTCATACCGATAAAAATATAATTTGCACACTCGTTCCTTGTGTTGATGTGTGATTATGCATATGAGGCATATGAGTGTGTGTGAGAGAGAGAGAGCGAGGAAAAGAGAAGGAGGGGGAGGGGGTGTGGAGGAGGGAGAGCTGAAGTGTATATAATAGTATAACTAGAGCGGAGTGTTGGAGAAGATTGTTTTCATTGAGTATAGGGTGTTGGGGGATGTAGAGAAATGTTGGAATGTTGGATTACCTTTTTCCATTGTTGATTATTGGCGTGTTTGTAGGGGGTTGACATAAGATGCCCAAATAATTTGCATATAGAGAACACTTCAAAATCTATTGAAACTTTTATCATTTGGAAGAGGGAAGAGTGTATCCCCTATACACCTTAAAAAATGTCTAGACACATTGGACTTTTGCTTATTCTCTCTTAGAATTTCATATTTCAGACACGAAACAAGTGACTTGATATATTTGGAGACTGCCTGCTTACAGCAATGCTGGTTCATTTGATGAGGATAAATGTCTTTGTCTAGGCAGGGATTGCAATAGATTTACCTGCACACTCTGTGGGGATACCCTTGCCCACCACTCTCGGGTAGCATAGTTCTTCCTACTTTTGGTTTTTAAAGATTGTGACCAATATCTGTGTTCCGGAGGAAAGAGTGTACAGGAAGTTTTGGGGATTAGCCAAGGCTCAATCGGGGTAACACTGTTCAGTGTTCATAAACCATACAAGTGAAAAGGGTTGATGCCATCTGCCTTGTTTGATAGTTGATCCAGGACCACATATTAGTGTCAGAAATGGATTTGTAAGTGCCCAGACACACTCCAATTCACTGGAAGTTTCCCTTTTGCCCTATTTTCTGACACAAAAGGAACGCCCTGATAACTCAATTTGGATTAAAAATGTAACTTCTTTTGTTTTCTTACTTAAGGGTTGAATTGAAACTTAAAACTTTAACCAGCTATGGAGTCCATATCACTATATTACTTTTGTACCATACATTTCAGACTTGATGCTACATGATTGTGTCCAGTGTTTGAGATTTTTAGCCTTCTCTTTCCATCTGAGATAATCAGTTGAGCTATACAGAATACAGATTATAACTATTAAATAAATCAAAAAAATTTCCTATATTTGCATCAGTTGTGTTGTTTCACCCTTTGGAAATAATGGTGATGGACAACTGCTGCAAGATGCTATTTCCTTGTTAGTTTTTATTATTTCAAATTTCTTTTGGTTCATGAATCTTGTTTTATCAGAACTTTTGTGGCTCCACTTGAGAGATTAAAGCTGGAATATATAGTTCGCGGTGAACAGAGGAACATATTTGAACTCATCAAAGTGATTGCAACTACACAAGGCTTGAGAGGCTTTTGGAAGGGGAACTTTGTTAACATTCTTCGTACTGCTCCTTTTAAGGCAGTCAACTTTTGTGCTTATGATACTTATAGAAAGCAACTTCTGAGGTTATCTGGGAATGAAGAAACTACAAACACCGAGAGGTTTGTTGCTGGTGCAGCAGCTGGTATTACTGCTACTGTGCTTTGCTTGCCACTAGACACTGTAAGTTATAACTTTTACACGCACCTGCTGGAAGCAGCCGTTTCTTTTATAAAACTAGGTTGTGCTTTTAACATTGGTCGAGCTGTCTTCTCACGACCTCAAGCGGATTGCCTTTGTATCCAAACATATCTGGGATATTTGTTTTATAGTGGTTATACAGTCTTTGTGAATATGATGAAAAACATATAAATCTTTCAGATTCGGACTAAATTGGTGGCACATGGTGGGGAAGCTTTGGGTGGTGTAATTGGAGCTTTTCGCCATGTGATCCAAACTGAAGGATTCTTTTCACTTTATAAGGGCCTAGTACCCTCCATTCTGAGTATGGCACCTTCAGGAGCCGTCTTTTATGGTGTATATGATATATTAAAGTCAGCTTATCTACATTCACCTGAAGGAAGGAAAAGAATCGAGAGTTTGAAGCAACACGATCAGGAAAGGAATGCTTTTGAGCAACTTGAGTTAGGACCGTTAAGGACTTTGCTGCATGGTGCCATTGCTGGTGCTTGTGCAGAAGCTGCCACTTATCCATTTGAAGTCGTGAGAAGACAGCTTCAGTTGCAAGGCCGAGCACCCAAACTGAGTGCATTGGCAATTACTACCAAGATAGTTGAGAAAGGAGGCATTCCCGCTCTATATACAGGACTATTCCCTAGTTTACTACAGGTAAATGCTTCTTTTCTTCATTTTAAAAGTGCTGAATTTCCGGCAAAAGTCACATGCATTTAAACTCTCGTTTTCAATCATCAGGTTTTACCTTCCGCCTCCATAAGCTATTTTGTCTACGAGTTCATGAAGATTGTTCTTAAAGTGGAATGATGAGATTACACGAATTCTTGTATACAAAACTGAAAAGGACATTGCTGCACCTGGAGATCCAGTTAGCACTCTTGCAGTAGATAGAAACCAGCTTCAGATTTCAATCAACAGAGATGCTTAGTGTCCATTTACTCATCCTGGGCATCTTGAACCTAACTGCATTCATTTTTGTTTTCAATGCTATTCTGAACTTCAGCAGGAAGTTGTACCTCACTACTATTCATCATCAAAATTTAATAGAAAGTGTTGTTAAATCATACCTTTGTACCCCTTGTTTCTTTCAGTTCACAGATTTTGCCCACAGATATTACTTATATATATTAGGTTTATATTACAAATATCAAAATACATTAGTTACAAAATGTAGTAATATATATATATATATATATATATATATATATATATATATATAGGCCAGACATGCAGGTTTGTAGGTCAAACCTTTACATATAAGCCTGGACCTATTTAATTTAATAGGCTTTTAAATAGGCATAAGTCTGACCTATTTACTAAACAAGCCAAGCAGGCCATAAGCCCCTTTGTAGGGGTTTAACCTATTACCACTGAGCATGTAATATTGAGGACTATATGGTAATTGCTTAATTTATTATTATTATTATTATTTTTAAGTATGACAGAAATATTACATTATAAAATTATTTTTAGTGGGTAACCCAACTAAGTAAATTGTTTCGAATATTGACTTGTTAATCATAATGTTATAAGTTCGGACAATTATGGATAACTTACCTTTCCTGGTTAAGGTCATAAGGCGAGTTTGAAAATAAAAAAACAACTTGGGTGCGGTGAATGCATACATTTAGCCACTCGTTTTCTTGTGTGTGTTTCCTTCTAGCATGTTCGGAGTTTGCGAGTGATTGATTGTTCTCGGGTGATTGATTGTCCTCATATTGAACAACAAGAAGTTGGTGTTTTAACACTTACAAATTATACCGTGTATCATGATCCACAATAGATTGAATGTTCGTTTTTAAGTAGTATATCATAAATAAAATTTAATTCAAAATTTTATGTTTGTAGTTCATTTTATAATGTGGATCATGATTTACTATAAGATGATGTCTAAGACTAGCAAGATATGTATTTTAAAGTGTATTTTTTCCCCTATGTTTTCAATATAAAAAAAGTATTTTATATTGGATAATAATAAAGTACATAGAATAGAATTATAATATACTCCGTAATATATAGAATGTAGTTGGTCAAGTGACTGAAGTGAGTAGAGGTAAAATGAAATAGTGATGAGTAACAGAAAAAGAAATACGTTTAAAACTTACAACTGAGGAAAGTGCCACGTGGAATTCATTTACTCGCTTGCCGATAATAACGAAGCTCGAGCTTCTTCAAGCATCCGTTCAGACTTCCGAGTTGTTTCGTAGAGAGCTTCCGATTCGCGAGCTAGGCGCGGTGTTCTCGCATCAAAACCGAACTGCCGGTATGCCGCCGGACGACGATGGACCGGGAGATTCAGCGGACTCAGCTCAAGGCCGCTGCACATGCACGAGCTCATTAGCGGGCGAAGAACGCGACGGCACTTGCCCGCATTGCAATCGCCGGCGGTCAAGCCTCCTTTCCTCGCCTTCCTCTTGCTCTCTGCTCAGCTTGGAGTCGTACCCCGTTGAGGACTATGATAAGCTCTGGAGAGTATATACTGCCTCCGTCAAAGGCTTCACCATCGGCGCTGGCCTCAAAGGCGGCCTCGCTCTTTTCTCCGTTCTTGCTCGCCTCCGCCGTAGGCGATCCTTGCCTTTCGCCAAGTAAATTATGTCTCCTTAATATCTGATTTCAGCTTTATGTGTTTGTAGATTTGTTTAGTTATTAATTTGATGCTTTGTTTAGGAAAGCGCTAATGACTTCCGGCAGCGATGATGTAATTTTGGCAGTGAAAGAAACTCTAAGATACGGTCTATTTCTCGGCACATTTGCTGGTACATTTGTTTCAGTCGATGAAATTATTTCGGCTCTAGGTGGTCACCGTAGGTAGGCTCGGTTTTTTTATCTTAAATTTCTGGAACGATTTGCACCTTCGTTATTCTTTTGAGGTGATGAAATTACTGCAATAGGGATTAATTGCTGTAGTATTCTTCATTCTTGATTACTATTTTAGGACAGCCACATGGAGAGCTTTGCTTGCAGGAGCAATAGCAGGGCCTTCATTGTTACTTACTGGATTTGATAACCAGCATACAAGCTTAGCCATTTACATTCTTATGCGAGCAGCTGTTTTGGCATCACGTTGTGGAATAAAAAGTGAACGATTTGGGCACATTTGTAAGCCCCTAACTTGGAGGCATGGGGACATTTTCCTGATGTGCCTCTCCTCTTCCCAAATTCTGTAAGCCTCTATAACAGCCCTTTTTATATTGTTCTTGGATTCTATTCTATGCCATCATATATTTAATGGTTTATACTCTACCTTTGTTACATATTATATGGTGTTGATTTGTGCAAGTACTTCTGTATGTCTGTTAATGTACTAACTGAGGGTTATAACTTATAACAATGTAATGACATGAAAATGTCTGTAATAAAGAAATCTTTCAAACTGAGCACATTATGCAATATACACTCTGCAGTTTCTAGTGTGATGGCTTGAAGCTCACCCAAGCTACGAAACTGAATTGTCTCATATTGTTTAGAGATGCTTGGGTATAGAGAAAAATAACCTGCACTTTCAGAGTTTCAGTGATCTGTAATCTTTGCAATATAACTTTCTCTTAAACCCATCACATATTAATATTCTTTTGATAGATTTACATTTTTATATAAAAAGTACTGAAAAAATTAACTGTGTCTGACCCACTTTATGAATATGAAGTCCAGCATTTCCATTTTCCACTGATGTAGTTATAAGGGGGGATGGGGACCTTGTACTTTCAGATGTGTTCAGATGTCCTTCTCTTATGAGATGTTTTTTTTTTTCAATTTTTTTTTTAATCTAAAAAACGATGTATTTCAGGTCAGCTTATATTTTAAAGCAAGATAGTCTGGCTTCATCTTACAAGTCCTTTCTCAATAAACATGGAGGAAAAGACCTTGCTATCTTGAAAGGCGTGAAAGAGCTTGCATGTGGCAGGCCTGTAAAAAATTTGGCTGAGATAGAAAAGTATTACAAGTCCACTGGTGTAAACATCAAACTTGATCCACAGATGAAAGTTCCTTGCTCGGTATGGATCAACATTTCAAAATTAGTATTTGTTGGTTTTTTTTCCTCACCCCCCACCCCCCCAGTGACACAAGGGTTTAGATAGCTTTAAAAATCACACCCTTTTGTACCTTCAAGTTGATGAAGGGATACATCATGTAAATGAAATATTTTCCATGGTATTGTGGGACAAATACCTTCTAGGAATATTCTTCCAGACCATTCTCCTTCGTATGGAGAATAGAAGTAAAGGTTCACTATCTTCTCAATAACTTAACATTCTTTTGAATGAACATCTGAAGTGCCCAATGTTTATCAGACCACATAATGAACTCTGAGTCTCAAGGTGAAAAGTAGTTGAATATGATCTCTATGGTCTTGATCTTCTTCCTTTTGATCCTAGGCTCATACAAGTATACTCTTCTAAGAAATATTTTTATATGATGGCCAATTATGTGATTTTATGTCCCATATATTTTAGCTTTGTGCACTTGATGGCATATTCTCAATTACTCACTGTCCCTGTAATTTACCAGTTTAGCTGTGTGCTTGTGTGAAATAGTACTGATGGTAACTGCTTTTTAACAACATGCATAATGTTGATTATCTGAGTTTGAAGTTATATTTATCGTTTATGTATACTCCATCTATGTTCATGCCAGTGCACAGCCACTACTCTCTTATGTGCACTGTTGCAAAAATCGCGCCGGCCGGCCGCTTAGCGTATCACCATAATCGGTGGTCTAGGCGGCTGACTAGCTATTGTTCCTCTTTTTTTAAAATGGGTTATTTCACTCAAAACGACGTCGTTTTGAGCGAAATAATCCTAAATCGTTCAAACCCTAGCTGTTTTTTAGGTTAATATTTAATATTTTAGTATTAACTATTAAAGTATTAAATAATTTATAATAATCAAGTCTTAATTTTTTTTAAAATAAAATAAAATAAAATAAAATAAAAAATACACGGGCGCCTAGGGTGATTAATCGCCAGCTAGGCGCTAGGCGCCCGAGGAGCGCCTAGCGATTTTTTCAACCATGCTTATGTGTATTACAGATACGTGAGAAATTCATCTTTATGCAGATGATACATGGAAACCAAGCATGTGGTGCACATTTTGTAACATTCCTAATTCAAGCCTATAAGAGAGCTTTACCTGTCTACCTACCGGTTTACTTAATCCCTGCACTGATAGTGCATCGGCAAGGCCTCTTGAAACGGTACTCACTTTTGTGGTTTTCTTTGCAGTTTATGATTTCCCATCTTCCCCTAATTTGTGTTTTATTATATTGATTTGTATGTGGTCTATTGAAAGTTTGCTCTGTAGAAGGAATTTATTGTGGTGGCTAGTCCAATGACACTGTGTCATTAGACATTAGGTTATTATGCTATTTCTGAGCATACATATGCTATCAGTGAAACAGTCTTGGCTATAGTAGAATGAATTTTCAATTCTCAGTCAGAAATAGGAAAGTTGCTGTTGGTGCAATAAGCTAAGCCATAATCACAGACTACGAAGAGTTGGCTAATGGATTATGCTTCTGCTTTTTGTTCTCTTTATGCTGAATTGTAAAATTTGCTGAACAAGATAGAAAAATGCTTCTTTTATCTCTTATTTTTTATAATTTTCTTTATGCATGCTTATAGTTCATCTGAGACATCTTCAAGCTTTCACTGAAATGACCTTTTCTGTTCTAACCTTGATCTCCATCTGACCACAACCTATCAAGTTTTTCAGGTTCTTATATTGTGGTTTTAAATTTTTTATGTTCATATCCTTGCAGACATCAAACAATTTTATGGAAGGGTATTTTTGGGACAGCAAGATCTAGTTTGTTTCTCTCAGTGTATTGTGCTTCTGCATGGTAAGCAATTAATTTGACAAGTTATGTCCTAACGTTGTTTTCTTTTTACTTATTCACATGAAGCTTACTTGTTTTACTTCATTTTTGCTACAACGATTCAATGATTTTGTTTTAGAGTGAGCAAGGTGTCCCAGGCACACTTGTCAGCTAGGAGCCTAGGATTTCTAAATTTTCATGTGGATATGGAGATACTCTGCGTTTTTATAAAAACGTCATTTGATATATT